CTATCGTAACCGGCGATGAAAAGTGAGTTATCTACAATTACACTATGCGTAGTAGATTGTTCGGTAAGCCCCGCCATGCATCAACATTGGCGGCAAAGCCAGATATCATTGTTAGGAGCTTCTGTTCTGTATGTGGTGGGATCAACAGGGTTTAGTTTATTATGAGCTGTTCAAACTGACCGAAACCATCGCGAGAGACCATTATCGACTACAATTGATGCGTTTGAGCCGATTATTGAAGACAGAACATCCACTGTACGAGCAGACACGACAACGCTTGTCCACATGTTGCAAAATGGGTGAAAACCTAATTGGAAATACTTAAATGGGAAGTCCTACCCCATCCGCCCTATTCACCAGACTTTCGATTGTTCCGAGCAATGGCCCATGGCCTGGGTCAGCAGCACTTTCATTCATATGAAGATCTCAAAAAAATGGTTCGGCTAGTGGTTAGCCTCAGAAGACGTGTCGATTTTCCAACGTGGAATTTAAGTGCTGCCCAGAATATGGGAAAATATTAGTCGCTAGTGAAGGATAATATTTTCAATGACATAATTCTTACAAATTTTTGGAAATAAAACAATACTCTTCATGAAAATTCATCGATAACCTATTCAAGGTCCTATATACTATAAAAATCAGGAGGTCAGTTTAATATGCGACCTTAGTTTCAACCTTATGGTCTTATCGTGCGATTTTTTTTAGGAACTGACCACCTAACGCTTTTTATTAAAAAAAAATGCAAAGAACACGACATTACTATTTTCAAAAATAAATTTAAAAAAAAGCACGATAATCAAACACATGGCGTTAAGCCTAACAGAAAGGAGGAATGTACAGAAACGGAAGAATATATATATATATATATATATACATGTAAGTGTGTGTGTGTGTGTGTGTGTGTGCGGGGGTGTGTGTGTGTGTGTGTGTGTGTGTGTGTGTGAATGAATATAATACTCATTTTAGACCGATATAAATATTCCTGATGTTTCGATCTTTGGGTATCAGAAAACATTATGATATTATTGGAATATGTTTCTAGGAAACCTTATTATATACACTAAATTCATTTTTAAAATTAATGTTTATTTTTTTTTATCCTAATAATTTTTAATCCGTTCACTTTATTACAATAATTGAATGCCTCAATATGTTATTAACGTTAACAGAGTTTGACTAATATTTCTGGCTACCATTAATCGGTTGAGATTTACACACCATATTTTCCAGCATTGGTAAACTTAACGATCAATGCTTGGGCTTGAAGCTCTTTTAAATTGGGAAAATATTTTTTCCCGGGAACAATCCGTCTCACTGCACAGAGAAAAGCATTTAAGCAAAAAGAAGAATGATTTTACAATATAAGAAGCAATCGAACTCGCAGTTTTACATTAAATTAGCTTCTCTTGGATGATCCATTTAACACGCAGATACTCGGAGAGTGACTTCTCTTAAGCAATCTATTTAACCTGTATATCCACTTTGATCTATCTGATGCATAGATCCGGATCAGATGGATCCTTGAGATAATGACAACTCCACTTTCTCAGGATCCCCAATACACAAATTGAAATCAACTCGCCCATGATTCATTCCAATCGTGTGTATATATATATATATATATATATATATATATATATATATATATATATATATATATATATATATATATCCACATACACAAACACACACATATATATATATATATTTATGTATATATATATATATATATATATATATATATATATATATATATATATACATATATATATATATATGTACATATATATATGTGTGTGTGTGTGTGTGTGTGTGTGTTTGTGTGTGTGTGTGTGTGGTGTGTGTGTGTGTGTGTGTGTGTGTGTGTGTGCGGATTTCTACACAAAGATTTGGGAAATTGACCCTGAAAAATAATTACCAAAGTTAACGCTTAATTTCTTATTGGAAACCCTTTTTATGGGGGGCACATTTTACAGAGATTACACAATGACCCTGAAACGGATTTGGATGCGCAGGTAGTTCAGTGTTTAGCTCGAAAAGTGAAATCCCCAGACCGAGTTCGAAATCTATCCCAGATAATAGCATTCACTTTTGCAGAGATATCTTTTGAAAAAAAAATTCTACCTCTAATACGGATTACACTTGAAGGCTTCTCAGAAGGAACAGAGGTAAAAAGAATCCTACTGGTGTACCTAGGTATCTAATGGGCTACGTCACCTGTAACATGATTTGATGATTTGAATAGAATGTAGCGTCACCTACGTATTCACTATTCGCTCACGCTGTTTTTAATCTTGAACACGTGAATAAAAGGCCATTTTAAGATGTGTTCTTGTGCTTCGATTTAATATGCATCACTTATTAGACATATTTAGGAAAAATAAAATGTTACTCATGGGAAAATTGATAATTCTCAAAATATTTAAAAATTATCCACTCGCATCACCTACCTAACGGATTTGAGCAAATCGTTAGAGGAACAGGGATTAGGAAAGGTAGCAAATAAATGAAAATTATTAAGAGATACAAAGTATATAAAATTGAGAAAACACATGATCTTCAATATAATTAAGGGAAACTACGAAAACAGCAACAACAACAATAACAAGACGGTACATCCATGTCTTACATATGTTTCCATGTTTCTATAATTACTACATTCCTTTTCTCTCTACATTGCTCCCGGTATAAGTTGTAAATTAGTCTAATAGCCATGCCAAATAATATCAGGCTAACCTAACAGTTGGAACGGTTCATAATGGCGTACTTTCTTAAGTGTATTTTTCATAATCTATACAACATAGATTTACATCATTTTGCATCTGTATTGCTCTTTCTGATACCTTTCCGAGCATAAATATTACATTCCTTGTTCCAGTGTCTTTCACAAAACTGCACTGTGGAACTACCTATTCATTGCTGATGTTCCCAGGTTCACCCTGACCCGTTTGGTAGGCCCAGTTAGAGTACTGACAATGGGCAAATAGTTAATCCCAAACTAGAGTAAAACACTATGAAAGTGTAAAAATAGCTTTTAATACAGTAATACATTTTTAGAATAAAATTACTTGCAATACATTTTTACGCGCAACGCAACAGTAATACATTTTGGGGGGAAGTTAATACCAGCAATATATTTTAGGAAGAAAAAAAATTACTAGCAATAAAATTTTCGAAAATAAAATATTGACAGCGGTACATTTTTGAAAAAAAATATTACCAGCAATAAAATTTTGTGGGCATTAAATAACCCATTGATGTTGTTATGCCGTAAGAACCAAAATTATATCCTGTTTAATTCTCCTGCGTTCTCAATTTATCAGAACTCGGACGTCCATTTTTTTTTTTTAAATGGAGCTCATTAGGCTGATTGTGCGATGGAGTTCACAATCCCGTACACCTAGTTTCATAAGCATCATAATGTATCTACATTCATTTTCCCGTATATCACCGTTACCCTATATTTCATTATTTATGTCTGTAATCTTGTCTGCGTATAAATCATCTGGTCATGCTGTTTTGTTTATGTTCAATTTGACCATTGGTAATTTGTGTTCAAAATTTTAATATTTCTGGTCCTTGATTGTTTTTGTGTATTCTCCTGTTTCGTCGTGGAAAAGTTCTCCAAAGTATCCGTACCATCTCTAACCCCTCCTTGGATTTTGTGCATGCTCTTGACGAGAATGTCTTTTGCCCTGTTAGTATTTTTTATTCCTTTATGCCTATCTTTTTCATCGGTAATACAAATTCTCTCTCTTTCTTCAATTTTTTTTATTGAAACATTCCTCTTCTGCCTGCCTGTATTTGATTCTAATTTCTTTGAGAAATGTTCTACCTTCGCTACCAAACCTTTGAATTGTCTTCTATCGAATTTTAATCAAGTCAAGAATTTCATTTGCCATCCACTCCTTTTTCCTTGTCTTGTTTTCTTTAGGATGATTTCTTAGTGCTGATGTCACTAAATCTTCTTTTAATTTGAATCCACTTGGAAATTCTATTCTCATTTAATTCCCTGTATCTGTGTTTTAAATCTGTCAAAATATTTCTCGTTCACATTCGGGGCATTCAGGTGTCTGTCGTATTGCAATTTCCGTGCTGCATTTGTCCGCTTCAATTTCTGTAGTTTCAATCTAATTTACATCATAATGAAAAGTGGTCGCTCCCGCAGTCAGCACTTGGATATGTTTCGCAGTGCCATACCACATTCATGAATCTGTAATTGATCGTTATGATAGTTTTCATTTTCTCCTCCTGCGAATTTCTATATCCATACGTGTCTAGTTTGTTATTGAATCCCAGTGTTAGCTAACATCAGACAGATTTCTGTGAAAAACTGAACCAAATATCACTAAGCTTTCATTACGAGAATATGTGTGATAAATGATTGAACTACACTTGTCGCTTTGAAATAGACAACCTACAATTATTTCCATCATTTTCATTGCATTCACAGATGGTGTATAATAATTCACTACACTATGTTATTATCACTATCCGATATTATGTATTAGACAATCAAGGCCTGTTTAAAAGATCATACGTATATATACACTGTATTAATTCTTTGGGAGTCATCCCTTATATCTGAGCAAGTACTGTTCTGGAGAAATTATTATTTTCTTTAATCCTGAGATATTTCATATACTATGCTTAATTAAAGAACATAATAAAGGTGAAGGAATTTTATATTCTCTCAGTGTAGTTAGAAAATACCATAACTGTATTTCAATTGTTCGTCTTATATTGTAGTTTTATATTGCGAAGCAATTATAGTAAATACCAAATGTCAGCTTAAAGATCAAACACACAGAACAATATATGATCACTTATTCGCCATTACTTAGTGGGGGGGGGACTCAACGATATCTTTATGATATAGAGAATGGCATAATTTTTTTTTCCGGTTTTCTCGTTTTATGTATTCGTTTTATACTGATCCAGCCATTTTGTAAAAGGTTAATTGTGCACTGAGGGTAAAACAACTATTTACTTTTTTAAAGTGTTCTACTTTTAACTATTACTTCTTCTTCTTCTTCTTCTTCTTCTTCTTCTTCTTCTTCTTCTTCTTCTTCTTCTTCTTCTTCTTTTCGGTATCATTGTTATCACGATTATCTCTAGTTTCTTTCTTCGTGAGTTTATCATTCTCTTTACTTTTTATTCTTTCAATGTTCTCACTATTCTCTCAGTTTCGTCCCACTTTTTTCTTCTCTTTCGATTTCCTCTACTTCATTTTCCACTGAGCAACTTTGAAAAAAATCACACATATTTTGTATAGATAAAGCACTTCGTAAGGTGTGGGCGGTACTCGGGAGAACAATATTTTGTATTTCTTTAACGTACGGGCTAACAGGAATCGCTTCAATGAGTCTACTGGAATCTTTTCCAATCAATCCGTGGGTGCCATCTAAAACTGGAATTGTTGATGTTCTCATGTGCCACTTTTTTAAGATTTCGATTTCAAGGTCCTTGTATGTTGGTATTATTATTATTATTATTATTATTAACATTATTATTATTATTATTATTATTATTATTTGTGTGTTATGCCTCCTGCTTTCTATCCTGTAGAGACGGGTCGAAGCTATGGTCCTTAGGCCCTATAGGAGAATTGTCATTTAATTGATAGTCTTTTTCTTAGTATATGTGATGTTAGTAGGACGATTATCCGGGCAACTTGTATGCTGGTGTTACCTGGGACACTCTTAGCAAAATTGCCCATTCCTTTCCTCAAGATGCACAGAGCTCTGATTACTGTTGATAGAGTTTCAATCTTCATTCGTCACATCATTATAATCTCAATCTCCAGGTCCTTGCATTTGGACAATTTCTCGATAATTTTTATGGAAGTGTTTCTCTCACATGGTACTGCTATGACAATAAGAATACACTTCCTGAATATCTAGTCTTTTATGAAAGTATGAAGTCTTTTATTTCCCTGTCAGTATTAACTGGCATGTTCCAGAGGATAGTTACATCGTTATTTTGTGTAACTGTGTCTGATTGGTGGTCATAGCATCTCAGAGTGGTATCGAATTTGTGCTTCTTGCATGATTTTCATTTCACATATATCGCTAGCTTGTTATGTCTCTGAGTATATATATTTTTTTTTGTTACTTCTGGACATCCTGCGATAATATGGTCGACAGTTTCATGGTATTTTCCGCAGATCCTGCATTTCGGTTTAGTTCCATACTTGATTATGTGATACTGATAGGTTCTCGTTACGGTGCTTTGGCCCTGAACTGCCATAATTGGGCCTTCTATCTCAGCTTTCAGTCCGATGCTCCTCAGCCACCAATGTGTTTTCTGTTGGTCCACATATGCTTCTTTCAATCTTTTATGTATTTGCCGTGCAACGCCTTATCAGTCCCAGTTTTATTGTAATTCTATTTGGCCAATTTATAAATATGTTTTATGGTAATTGTTTAAATGAGCTCTTCGCTGTGGTACATAGACTTTGTGAATTTAAGCGCATTAGTAGACTGGCGACGAGTTCTCATCAATTTACAGTTTAGTTGGCTAAATGGAATTGTCACTTATATGCAAACAGTTTATTTTCTCTCACTTCTCGTTTGTTGAACTCTATGCTTTAATCAGCAAAACATTAAATGCTATGTCAATCGCTATCTAATGTCCCTCTGATTCGTCTTCTTTTGTTCTTGCTCATTATTAATGTTTTTGTTTCTAGCTCTATGACACTCAAGAACACCTTGTGTGTCAGGAGTTTACTGCTTTTTTTGAGGCGTAATCGATGAAAAAATAGAAGACCGACATAATTCTTAGCAAGCTAATTGTAATCTCAATTATCTGAGAAAAGGGTTGTATGCAGCAGACAGTTTACATATTTCTAAACAGGATTGGCGACATGCAGCGCATTCTTATGCAAAAAGAACTATCCAAATTTACATGTAACTATTTTGAGTGAATTATATTATTTTTAGTTTCTTTTATAGTCTATTCGATTTTGTCATTTTTCACTTCTTTACTCCTTACACTTACTCCTTATTCTTTACCTTTTACTCCTTATTCTTTACTGCTTACTCTTTACTCCTTATTCTTTACTCTTTACTCCTTATTCTTTACTCCTTACTCTTTACTCCTTATTCCTTACTCGTTACTCCTTATTCTTTACTCTTTACTCCTTATACTTTACTCCTTATTTCTTACTCTTTACTCCTTATTCTTTACTCTTTACTCCTTATTCTTTACTCCTTATTCTTTACTGCTTACTCTTTACTCCTTATTCTTTACTCTTTACTCTTTACTTCTTATTCCTTACTCTTTACTCCTTATTCCTTACTCTTTACTTCTTATTCCTTACTCTTTACTCCTTATTCTTTACTCTTTACTCTTTACTCCTTATTCCTTACTCTTTACTCCTTATTCTTTACTCTTTACTCCTTATTCTTTACTCTTTACTTTTTACTCCTTATTCCTTACTCTTTACTCCTTATTCTTTACTCTTTACTCCTTATTCTTTACTCCTTATTCCTTACTCTTTACTCTTTATTCTTTACTCTTTACTCTTTACTCCTTATTCCTTACTCTTTACTCCTTATTCTTTACTCTTTACTCCTTATTCTTTACTCCTTACTCTTTACTCCTTATTCTTTACTCTTTACTCCTTATTCTTTACTCCTTACTCTTTACTCCTTATTCTTTACTGCTTATACGTTACTCCTTATTCTTTACCCTTTACTCCTTATTCTTTACTGCTTACACTTTGCTCCTTATGTTTTACTCTTTTCTCCTTACTCTTTACTCCTTACTCTTTACTCCTTATTCTTTAATCTTTATTTTTTACTCCTTACTCTTTTCTTCTTATTTTTTTACTACTTATTCTTTACTTCTTACTCTTTATTCCTTATTTTTTACTCTTTAGTCGATACTCTTTACTCTTTACTCCATACACTTTACTCCTTATTCTTTACTTCTTACTCTTTACTTCTTACCCTTTATTCCTTATTTTTTACTCCTTATTTTTACTCTTTAATCCTTACTACTTACTCTTTCCTCCTTACTAAAGCATTATTTAATCAGTTTTCGTAATTGTATTTCGGTTTTTGCCCCTCGGGTTCTTTTTTTTTCTATTCGACTTCTGTTTTTTTTCATAAATTTCCTCCTAATAATTCTTACTATTATTTCTAGAACATTTTTCCTTCTACATTTTTGGTATTTTTATTTATAAATTAATTTCTCTCTCGTAATTCCCTTTTATCTGTAGGTTTCACATAATCCTTACTTTTAGGCTAATCCTCTTCCTAATCTATAAGCCAAGTATATTTATTATCTGCCAGCAACGTAAATTCGTTTACTGTAGTCGAGTCATATTTTCCTTAAAAATATCAAAGCAACTTGTAAGTAGGTAGTCAGACATAAAAATGACACACAGCAAATATGAAAAGATACCCAATATGAAAGTTCTTTTAATTATTAATCGAAACCGCATCTCATCCTCTCCGTCAGTATTACATATCGGCATATACTTTGCTGATGTTGGTGTTGTTGCAGTTGCTAATCGAGCAATTTATTCAAATGCTTAACTATCTGCCCTCTTAATCGTTACCTAACGTCATGGATATTGGAAATATTAGCCTTTTACTCATCAGGAAATATCTAGAACTCACTGATGGAGCAGCCAGTATTGTTGCCGGTTAAAATTTCTAAAATTCTTTCTTATGACAATTTTTCTAGAAAATAGTTTTCTAAAGCTAAGTAGATGTTATATCACATTTAATTAGTAAATGGCAGCGTCTTCGCTATACTGTAAAATTAATAATATTTGTTTATTATTCGTCGATAAGATGACTGTGATTCTTCGTATTAAGGAAAATATGCGAAAGGATGAAAACTAGGAAAGTGCGTAATATATGAAAGATTGAATAGAATGAAATATAAAACTTTTGAACATCAAGGATATTCTATTTACATTATTCGGAGTATTATCCTCAACTTTGTTGCCATATTTATTACGACCTTTCGGCCGTTGTAGGTTCTGGCTTTCTTCAGGTGGTTGGAATGTCGAACACATGGCACAGTGGATAAAGGCGTCATTTAGTTCAATACCCGGTTAAGGTAGTGGAGAACTTGCAGAGGGGAATTAACTGGAGATAACTGACAACTGACATCCATTAAACATGGCATGTGGAACTAGAACAGTGAGCGAAATAAAGGGTTCAGTTCGACATAACAACCACCTGAAGAAGACCGGAGCGTACAACGGCTGAAACGTTGTAATAAATATGGCGACAAAGATGATGACAATAGTTCGAATAATGTAAATAGAGTACATAATACCTCATCTCAGAGATATAGGCGCATACTGAAAGGCCGAAACGTTTTAATAAATATGGCGACAAAGATGAGGACAATAGTCCGAATAATATAAATAGTGTACATAATACCTCATCTCAGAAATACTGACAAATACTGAAAGGCCGAAACGTTGTAATAAATATGGCGACAAAGATGAGGACAGTAGTCCGAATAATGTAAATAGTGTACTTAATACCTCATCGGAGAAATATAGACAGATAATCAAGGATATTTTTCAGAAAGGTAAACCTTTTATCACTGGTGCTTGTCGTATATTAATTGTTTTTTTCTTTCTTCACCATATTTTATCAAGAAATTTTCTGTCTTTTATTTTGTCTTGGTTTCTTTATTTCTCCCCGAGTCCGTTTGTTCGTTTGTTCTTTCTTTCTTTCTTTCTTTCTTTCTTTCTTTCTTTCTTTCTTTCTTTCTCACTTTCTGTCTGTCTTTCTTTCTTTCTTTCTTTCTTTCTTTCTTTCTTTCTTGTACATGCTTTTTCCCCTCCAGTAATATTTATTTAACTATTTATTTGTACTTTCCTTACTACAATTTCTATTTCTTCATTTATAGCTGTTCCTTTTTATTTCATTAATTACTATAACATTTGCCTTCTTTCTTTTTGGCTTTAGGTTCCTCTTCGTTATTCTTTCTTTCGTTTCTTTCTTTCGTTTCTTTCTGTCTTTCCTTTTGTTTTCTTCATCCTTCTCTTCTTTATTCATTCGGGTCCTCTCCTTTTCCTAAGGGTTCATGCAATTCCTCTAGTCTTCACGATCCAATGTGTTCAACATGTTGCACGGAGCGGCTGCCGGACAAGAGGCAGCAATTTAAATAGAAGGTCATCTTCGAGTGTCAAAGTCTCGTGCATTCAGCCTGATTCCTCTGAGTGATGCCCTTTTATTTCAGACCCATTCAAGCTGAAACAGAATACATTTTGCCCAGGGCATCACTTTCCCGTGATATACTAACGAGTTTCACAGATTTGTCAATCAATAAACAAATGATATTTGTTATATTTTCAAATAAATACGAATATAAATATCCATTTTTTTTTTTAATTTAACCGGTTAAAAAGGAATTTATTTTATTTTATTTTATTATCTTTTCAAAAGTTAATATTTTGATTGCATTACATTTTATATTATTTTTGTCATTATTATGATTATTAATGAGTGAAAGATAAATATGTCTCATGACATTCCCTAGGGTACAAATTATACGAAGCTGATATAGATACCCTGCCAGATAAGGGTATAGCAGGAATATGCATAACAGTCAAATATCCTCAGGCGCCGGACAATAGACCCAACCCCACCCGAAGGAGAGGTACTGCCTGAAGAGGAAGCCTTCCTGGGGCCTTCGGCTAATAAAGGGTATTCCAATAACTTGGACCGATTTTAATGTGAATTAAGTTTAAGCGTCTAATGATTTTTTCTTTTACTTTCAGATTTGGGCGATATTATTTTTCACACATAATTTCCATGATTTATACATAATCCAATAGAGAAATAAATAAATTTTCACCAAAAACTGTTTTAATTACTATTGACTTTGATGCGTCTTAATGAAAGACCCTTATATATAATCCGTCTTAATGAAACACCCTTCTGTGTTCATGCCGTTCCACACTGGCAGAACGTGAACATGATTCAATAGAAAACTAAATAAATGTTCACCAATAACACTGATTTATTTACTGCTGACTTTGATCCGTCTTAATGAAACACCCTTATATATAATCCGTTTTAATGTAACATTATTTATAATTTGAAACTCGACAATCAAAAGTCCGAGAAGCGATTATGTTTTCTTACCGTCCCACACCAGCAGAACGTGAAAAAATGTTATGTCACTTTGATTTGGGGAGACTAGGCGCATGTCATCGGGCTAGGTCCCAAAATAGCCCAGTGCTCGTAACCGTCATTTACTATGAATACCCCCACTTTATAGCAATGAGGGGAGATATTTCCGCGTGCATTTTTTTTCCTGAGACCGGAAAACGTTCAATGCTATTTTCAGCTCGGTTCAACTGAATGGCGCTCTGTCCGAAGACAAAGACACAACTGATAGATGGAATGTAGTTTTTCAGCATTAGGGCAAATTCTATATTTTGATCCCAGCCAATAGGCACAGAATCAATGGCGTCCGCGTTTAAGCGCCATTTTTCAGATGGTCCCAAACGACGTAAAGCGAATAAAACAATCAGAAGAATTGAGTTACCATGATTAAAATAACATCCACTGCATAATTATTTCTGCATTATTATTTAGAGAAAAGTAAGTTAGACGTGTATTTGGCTAGAAAGAAAGAAAGAAAAAAAGAAGGGAAGATAGCAGTGTTTAACCTCTCTTGGCAATACCTTATAAATAAATGGTTAGAATCCCCGAATATTGTAACGCCCTAAAAGTGCTTATAAATACCTATTTTTATTGTCAAAACCCCATATGCCTTAAACGTTTATCATAAACACTTTAGTAACATTTCAGACTCTTTTTAAAATATTTTTTAAAAAAATAGTATCGGTGAACATAGACTCAATGTATTTTTTCCTACGTGCAATAACCTTTTTTAATTACGCATAGATCGATACTGCATATTGAAAATATTATATTAAATATGTGTAACAAGACATAAAATATAAAAGTTTAAAACATTTTCTGAAAACAGAAAAGTGATGATACCCCCAAATTTAACATAAGCTACATTCAAGATCCCAGCAGCTGCCCTTAACAAAGAACAAAGCCCAAGCACTACATGTTTTTTTTTTTTTTATAATGAAGATGTACAATTCTGTCAATTTCTCTCATAAAAATGGAATGTTATATGTTTTAAGTCACTTAAATAACAGGAAAATAATACAAGAATATTTTAAGTATGTTCTATCGGAAACAATACGTGAATCGAGCGAGTTCTCAGTGAATAATTTCTGCATATTTTCTTCAGAAAAAAAAACACGCTAATATTCGGGATTTCCGCAAATAACAAGGACATATGTTCTAAAGAAATATCCGTGAATGGGTGAAGCCGTGAATGCTGAAACGCGTGTAAACGAGACCTCATTTTATTGATTTTGATTGCGTAGATAAACAATAGACATACACTATTTGAATTCCATGAGAATATGAATTAAATCAATAAAGTAAAAGTGAAAATATAAGTTTTTAATTGAATGGAAAATGTTGGTAATTTTATGCCATTGTATTTCCTTCTTAAAATAACGACTAGGATCCATATTTATGATGGTAAATGAAATATTTTCTTAAAATAATTAAGCACAAATACGCAAGGATGTGATTGCGATATTTCTATGGATATTTTATTGTCATAAGTTTATTCAATGATTAACTTATGAACTTATCATAGTTTTTTTTTATTATTTTGCATTTTGTTCTTTACCATCCTTACCTGGCCATTACCTGAGAGCCCTGTAAGGCAAGGTAATATATGACTGAATTCCGATTGCGAAAGGTCTGGGTAAATGTGAAAAATGACATGTACACTGTCGATACATTATCAGTGTTGGTAATAATTTCCTGCTCTTGTGGTTAGAACGCTTCCTTCCCGATCAAGTGTTATACCAGAAAATTACCTATTCTATTGTAATAGACTCTCCCACACATAATAACTAGTAGTAGTAGTAGCGGTCGCCAGTGGAGGTCAGTGGAGTTGAGTGAGTCAGTCGATGTCGGACATTGAAGTATCAATGACCACAACTAGATTGCTGCGTCATTAACTATTATTTTGAAGTTCCTAACATTTTGTTCGTCGAACCTAATTTAGGACGACTTAGTGAAATACAAGCCTCCACTGTAAAACTACTCTACAACATCAAGAGACCCCGGTTTGAATCATGTCAGGAAAGTCATTTCTTGAAAATGCAATAAATGCGTATAGATTGAAAAAAACATATTTTTTGATTATAGCACTGTTTTTCGTAATATCTTAAGTTTTATTTTTACTTTTTCCAGGGATCTTTTTATGAAAATAAAAATCTCAGGTGAATGACTGAAGTTCTATAATGTCCTTTGATTCACACGCTAGCGTGCGTAAATAAAACGTTATTTTAATTCTCTTATAAGGGAAATATTACTTTAAGAAAACACAGTTAATTAATTAAATAATTAAATTTATATAATAAATGTGCATTTCAGGGTATCACAGTGTCACACTATTTAAGTTAAAGGGACACAACTCTCTAATTTTCAATAACTCATGTTACAGAAATTTTAGATTCCAATGATTTCGTTACTGCGATTGTTTTCGGTGATTTTTACGTGAATTTTGCGACGAATTCTTTGTACCAATAACAATATTACTAATTTGGATATAAATTTAGGAATAATCGAAATTAATTGTGAAATCTAGAGAAAGTCAGCAATGAAATAAAAGTAATAGTTTATACGAAAAGAAGGTAAGAACCTACGTACATCAACTTCTCTTTGAATTGAGTGTCGGCGGAATAATTATCGTTGAACATTTAAAAGGTAATCTTAAATATTAATGCAATACTTAAAATGTAGATATCAATTTTTTGTTCTTCTGTAGTTTAATGTTGCCTATCGCTTACGGATGCAGTATGACACGCATAAAAAAAATCTACGGAAATAGAAGACGAGATTGCAATGAAAAGAGCAATAGCTACAGCGAGAGAAAGAAAGTCCAGTGCAAATGAAAACCCAGATGAAACGGCAGGCTCTAGGGTTTCCAATCTTGAGAATATACAGATTTGGGAATCTCAAATTCCTGAAAAAGCATTAGGCTCAGTCAAGTGACCTCGTCAGGAGCGAGTTGAAACTAGATTACTAAAAAAGTTCAAGACAAATCTCTAGAAGAAATATTGAGTTTTAAAGAGAAAATTTAATTCATTGTTTACATTCTTCATATAAAATAGCGGCTCAACGAGTGACAAAAATTAGAGCAAATGCTTTTCAATTATCTAAAGAGTTTATTTATATACGGAATTTTATTTTTCTTATATTTCGGATTAGTTTTAGACCATTATCTTTCAAACAGAACCGAAAGTTAAGTTCAAAGAAGTCATTTAAAATATTTAAAATATGTTTGTCTCATTTTATTTTAGAAACTCCGTGGTGATACGTAAATTATTTATTTACTATGAAGTCCGGTGAGACATATCGCATATTCACATATTTTTCAAACACATTCCTTGATTTTTGTTTAAAAAAAGGTTCTAATGAAGCGAATTGTATGAGTATATGTTATGTTATGCATATTTAAATTCCTTTAATAATTCAATAGTTTAATTACATTATTCTACGCATAATAGTTGAAATATAATATGCAAGCGTTTATTGGTATAAAAATGTATATCGCAAATAAATAGTGAATTTCCTATTTAAAATACTGCAAAAATAAAAAAGTGGCCGAATCTCAAGGTACACTTGTCTAATTTTAATGAAACTGGATGATTTATACGTCAGGTTTTAAAGTATAAAATACTCATAAATTGGCTGGGGTATAATATATCGTTTAAGCTGCTGTTTTGGGAACATACATACATATGTTTTAGTATTAATTAAATTATGTATATTCAATATGTATAGTCTTTAATGTTTTGTTTGTTTGCCTCTGTGAATTCTCAAAGGCCAATAACTTCAAGGACTTCTACAGAGATTTCAGGCTGAAATTGATACCATGTTCCGGCACATGACGCACAATAATATTGACATTTCTTCTTCTTCTATATAAGAATATGCATAGTTATGTAGTACTATACAATCAGAGAAAATATGTAATTGTGGTCATGACATAGAGAGAAAGATACGCAAGACGTGAGAAGTACATAAATATGATATTATGTAGACTGGATCGTTTAAGGCTACAATGAATTTATTCCATATATTATTATTATTATTATTATTCCCTCTCCTTCTTGTTCTTCTTCTTTTTCTTTGTCCTCAGTCTTGTTCTTCTTCTCCCCTCTCCTCATTCTTCTTCTTCTTCTTCTTCTTCTTCTTCTTCTTCTTCTTCTTCTTCTTTGTCCTCATTCTTGTTCTTCTTCTACCCTCTCCTCTTTCTTCTTCTTCTTCCTTGTCCTCATTCTTGTTCTTCTTCTACCCTCCCCTCTTTCTTCTTCTTCTCTCTCCACATTCTTCTTCTTCTTCTTCTTCTTTGTCCTCATTCTTGTTGTTCTTCTACCCTCTCCTCTTTCTTCTTCTTCTCTCTCCTCATTCTTCTTCTTCTTCTTCTTCTTCTTCCCTCTCCTCATTCTTCTTCATCTTTTTTTCCTCATTTTTATTTCTTCTTCCCTTTCCTCATTTTCCCTCTCCTCTTTCTACCTCTTCTTCTTCTTCTTCTTCTTCTTCTTTGTCCTCATTCTTGTTCTTCTTCTCCCCTCTCCTCATTCTTCTTCTTCTTCTTCTTCTTCTTCTTTGTCCTCATTCTTGTTCTTCTTCTACCCTCTCCTCTTTCCTCATTTTCCCTCTCCTCTTTCTACCTCTTCTTCTCTCTCCTCATTCTTCTTCTTCTTCTTCTTCTTCTTCTTCTTCCCTCTCCTCATTCTTCTTCATCTTCTTTTCCTCATTTTTATTTCTTCTTCCCTTTCCTCATTTTCCCTCTCCTCTTTCTACCTCTTCTTCTTCTTCTTCTTCTTATTCTTCTTCTTCTTCTTCTTCTTCTTTTTCTTTGTCTTCATTCTTGTTCTTCTTCTCCCCTCTCCTCATTCTTCTTCTTCTTCTTCTTCTTTGTCCTCATTCTTGTTCTTCTTCTACCCTCTCCTCTTTCCTCATTTTCCCTCTCCTCTTTCTACCTCTTCTTCTCTCTCCTCATTCTTCTTCTTCTTCTTCTTCTTCTTCTTCTTCTTCTTCTTCTTCTTCTTCTTCCCTCTCCTCATTCTTCTTCATCTTCTTTTCCTCATTTTTATTTCTTCTTCCCTTTCCTCATTTTCCCTCTCCTCTTTCTACCTCTTTTTCTCTCTCCTCATTCTTCTTCCTCTTCTCCCCTCTCCTCATTCTTCTTCTTCTTCTTCTTCTTCTTTGTCCTCATTCTTGTTCTTCTTCTACCCTCTCCTCTTTCCTCATTTTCCCTCTCCTCTTTCTACCTCTTCTTCTCTCTCCTCATTCTTCTTCTTCTTCTTCTTCTTCTTCTTCTTCTTCTTCTTCTTCTTCCCTCTCCTCATTCTTCTTCTTCATCTTCTTTTCCTCATTTTTTATTTATTCTTCCCTTTCCTCATTTTCCTCTCCTCTTTCTACCTCTTCTTCTTCTTCTTCTTCTTCTTCTTCTTTGTCCTCATTCTTGTTCTTCTTCTCCCCTCTCCTCATTCTTCTTCTTCTTCTTCTTTGTCCTCATTCTTGTTCTTCTTCTACCCTCTCCTCTTTCCTCATTTTCCCTCTCCTCTTTCTACCTCTTCTTCTCTCTCCTCATTCTTCTTCTTCTTCTTCTTCTTCTTCTTCTTCTTCTTCTTCTTCTTCCCTCTCCTCATTCTTCTTCATCTTCTTTTCCTCATTTTTATTTCTTCTTCCCTTTCCTCATTTTTCCTCTCCTCTTTCTACCTCTTCTTCTCTCTCCTCATTCTTCTTCCTCTTCTCCCCTCTCCTCATTCTTCTTCTTCTTCTTTTTCTTCTTCTTCCCTCTCCTCATTCTTCTTCATCTTCTTTTCCTCATTTTTATTTATTCTTCCCTTTCCTCATTTTCCCTCTCCTCTTTCTACCTCTTCTTCTCTCTCCTCATTCTTCTTCTTCTTCTTCTTCTTCTTCTTCTTCTTCTTCTTCTTCTTCCCTCTCCTCATTCTTCTTCATCTTCTTTTCCTCATTTTTTCTTCTTCTTCCCTTTCCTCATTTTCCCTCTCCTCTCTCTACCTCTTCTTCTCTCTCCTCATTCTTCTTCTTCTTCTTCTTCTTCTTCTTCTTCTTCTTCTTCTTCTTCCCCTCTCCTCATTCTTCTTCATCTTCTTTTCCTCATTTTTATTTCTTCTTCCCTTTCCTCATTTTCCCTCTCCTCTTTCTACCTCTTTTTCTTCTTCTTCTTCTTCTTCTTCTTCTTCTTTGTCCTCATTCTTGTTCTTCTTCTACCCTTTCCTCTTTCTACCTCTTCTTATCTCTCCTCATTCTTCTTCTTCTTCTTCTTCCCTCTCCTCATTCTTCATCATCTTCTTTTCCTCATTTTTTCTTCTTCTTCCCTTTCCTCATTTTCCCTCTCCTCTTTCTACCTCTTCTTCTCTCTCCTCATTCTTCTTCCTCTTCTTCTCTCTCCTCATTCTTCTTCCTAAACTCATCTCTCCTCATTCTTCTCTCCTCACCTCATTCTTCTTCCTCTTCTTCCTTTTCCTCATTCTTCTTCTTCTTCTTCTTCTTCTTCTTCTTCTTCTTCTTCTTCCCTTTCCTCATTCTTTTTTCCCTCTCCTCATTCTTCTTCTTCTTCGCTCTCCTCATTCTTCTTCTCATTATTATTATTATTATTATTATTATTATTATTAATCCTTTCCTTTCTGTTATGTTCTCATTTCATTCCCGGTCACGATCAGAGATTAAAGGTCAGAAATGGCATCATAACATTTTTCACTGAGCATTTTTGATGAAAAAATCTCACGTATTTTACATTGCTAAAGCCCTTTGTAAGATGTGGACAGCACTTGTGATTACAATTATTTTGTATTTCATGGGCTACCAGGGATTCCTTCAATGAGTCTATTGGAATATTTTCCAATCAATACGAGGACACAAACTACAACTGGAATTGTTAATGTCCTCAAGTGGCACACGTTTGAGATTTCGATTTCACGGTCCTTGTATTCTGATAGTTTTTTGAAGATCTTCAAAGATACATTGCGGTCTGCAGGGACGGCGATGTCAATAAAGAGGCGCTTTGCGGGCTCTAATCACGATGCCAGGGCGATTACCTTTCATTGGTGTGTTCATACCAAATATATTATTATTATTATTGATTTTTATTTTATTTCATACATTCCTTTAACCACATTTTACCAAAAAAGTTACTTGAAACTGGCTTATTTTCTGGCGATGATATGCTGGGACTCTTGAAAAACGAATAAAGCATTTCTGTTCGAAAATATGACAGACCATCATTATTTCCTGATGGCGTCATTAGCAATACAGACAAAAGTATATGTCTTAATCATTAACTATGGCAAAATATTTTTTACACTTCAAAGAACAAATTCTGCATTCTCAAACCTTTTGTTTTGAAAATCTCAATCAGATTATGCTATGCGACAGGTTAATCTAATCATCAGATATTGACTTCAAAGTCTTTTCAACAACAACCAAATTGATATTAGTGACAAACATCGCAATTCTTAGCAAGATGCATATGACATTTTGAACGATATCACGTTTCACGTATCTTTAATTCGTTATAAAACATTAATCTGTTTATATCGTCGAATTCTGAAAAAACTATGAGTAATTTTGTCTCTAGGCAAAAGTCAGGCAATACGATAACTCCAGTCGTAAAAAAGAATATCTATCTTTCATTCCAAAAGACGCAGAGTTGTCTTAAAATAAATGTAAGGAAAGGGAGACCTAATTATTAATACGAACAATGATTTTCTCAGAGTTTGTAAGTAGTACTTCACTTAATATTTTAAGACCAGAAGAGTCAATCAAATTCATTATCATTGAACTTCAAGATTCAAGTTGAATTTATTGTAATGTTATATTTATTGTTATCTAAATGATATAAGTATAATTAATTATTGCTAGTTTTATATAAATTTCGATTGAGACACACACACACACACACACACACACACATATATATATATATATATATATATATATATATATATATATATATATATATATACAGTACATAATTATAAATAATTACTGTTACTAAAACATTATTATTGTTTACCGTATATAAATGAATATCACGGGACTTTTGAATAGCTAATTTTGAAGCTAATTTTAAGGGGTCGCATCATACATGAAACGCTTTTATTCACAGGTACATCTGACTTAAACTTGGTGAATATGACTGTAACATTGCGGAAAACCGTCCGAATGATGTAGATGTGTAAATAATTACAATATATATATATATATATATATATATATATATATATATATATATATATATATAGGCATTTATTCATTGATCCATGTTTCATTAAATAATATAGACAAGTTTTGTCTATTTTTTTATGCAAATTCCTTTCATATCGTCTGATAAGCTAAATAACATTCTCATTGAAAAACTAAAGAAAATCACTGTATTGATACATGTTTTTTAATCCTTTCTAAGCTTTCGGCTTACATAAGACATCATCAAAGATGTCAATAACATTACAATATATTAAACTATAAACGGACATGGCAATAATGAAATTTCCAAGCAACGACAAATTCATGTATCCGAGAAGCTGGAATCGAAAATTGCAGAAAAACAGTTGAAACCTAACCTGAAGAAAATAAACATTAAAAACTCCACAAATATACTCAAATGCCTATAACTGATAACAGAAGTCGTTGATTTATATCAACGGCTTCGCATACTTAACACTTCTCGTTTTCACTCTCGCGTGATCATGTGTAACGTCATGAACCGTGGTGCGATTTTCGCTTCCAGCGTCTCGTATGCACGAATTTTTCGTTGATTGGAAATCTTCCATGCGTATAAAAACATACTATCATTATTGCCATGCCCGTGTATTGTTTAATATATTGTAATGTTATTGTCATCTTAGATACTATTTAAAAAACGTATCAATATGGTAAAAACTGCAGATTTCGTCTTTCAATGATAATGTTATTAAGCTTATCAGACGATATGAAAGAAGTTTGCATAAAATAAATGGACAAACTCGTCTATACTATTTAATGAAACATGCATATATATATATATATATATATATATATATATATATATATATATATATATATGCAATGGCTTTCTATCGGATTAAATAAATAAGGAATATAGCAATTCTTTAGGAATTTCATGTGGATGATGCTATCGTATTTGTATTATCAACGATCGGTTTACTGATAGAGTTTGGTGGAAGAATATAAAAGCATCATGCACAAGTATTAATAATTAAAAAGCCAAATCTCAATAATATCAATTATGAACACGTTTACAATGTGCTGACCGTCTTTAAAAAATAAAATATTTTTTAATTCTAGATACATTCACAAAACAATGCTTATATTCTGTAAAAAATAAAATAAAATTCATCCTTGACAATGGCTAAAATTATAAGCCGAATGTACCTGGAAAACATTCGGTAAATTTTTACAATTTTCTTTTTCCTGCAAGGAAAGAAAATTAATAGAACTCATGAGAAATTATATAAAAAGCCCCAACCACCAGACCTTGCCAGTCACTTTAAACCAAACTTGAATAAAATTGGGATTGCTGCCAAGATACACACTTTTTAAATATACCAGGAGTAACATGAAAATTGTTCAAATCGTTTAACTGCATAATTCTCATTTTGTTAGATTAAGCTTTGAACCATTTTATCTTAGAAATGATTAAATATATCTTACTGGAATTCTCCGAAGTTGGACTATACTTTGGGCAATAAGAATGTATATCTGCTCTCAAAGATTAACAGAAGAATCATGATGGAATTGATCATAAACTAAAATGACATCTTCCTCATTAATTAGTCATAGCTAACGATTGAAAGCTCATAAAGTGTTGAATTAAAGTTCAAATATATACATTTATTATTCCAGGATAATTTTCCAACTCATTAAAGATGATCTTCACCCACTCTAATCTTCTAAATTTCTGTACTGGTGTAACAATTTGCTTCACAAGTTTCACATACAATTTAGTTTTCAAGTCTTTTCTGCACTGTTCTTTGGATTGTCATTGTTGAAACTACTCTCTCATATGCCAAACATCTTATGGCTTGAGTTGGATCTTTTCTAATTGATCTCTTTAGCGCTAAATAGAAATGATGATCTTTCTTCCTGTCGTGACCTCCCAAGCCATTTTATTCTCTACTGTTCCCACTATTTTAAACGAATTCACCGTTCGTTTGATGGTTCTCGAATGGACATTCAAGACTGAATGGTGGTACCGTCATTGAGGGCCTGAATGTTCTTTTGCCTCTCACCATTGCTCAGTTGTGAAGACTGTGGGTCTGTCACAAAATGATTTTAACCTGTTCCAATTTTTAGCTGAATAACGCAAATGGTGTTTCAGTGATTATTGGGAAAAACGCTGTGAAGATGGCTAAACGTCTTATCTGAAAACGTGAAAAAAAAGTCATTTATAAGATATTAAATATTTTGTATGATAGATAATCATCCGATGTTTTTAAACGATTTGGGCAATTTTGCTATAACATCATTTTTTTTCTTTTTAGATGATAAATTTTATAAAATCTGTCCGAATTTTCTTTTTATCCGAGCGCTTTCGGCTATACATTTAGCTATGTCCAAGGATTAATTTTTGTTGTATGTTTTCATTTTTCAAAACAAGGTCAATATGCGTTCTTCGACAGAAAACGAAGCTGTATTCCTATGTGATGATTTTGAATGTAGATTGTAGAATCTACATTCAACATCATCACTTGATATGACACCAGAGGTGTTGAAACAATGACCCTTGTTTCAAGGCAAAAACGAAATGAATTTATTAATTTATTATTAGTTACTTTGTTTTTATAAATTCATTTCTTTTTGCCTTGAAAAAGTCCACATTGGGCTAAAAGCGCCGGCTAATATTACAGTTTTCCTATTGTCTTTTATATTTATAAATCTTGTCTTTTTCTAAAGGTTAACTCTGAGAATTTTTACATAAACACACACAGACACACACACACACACACACACACACACACACATATATATATATATATATATATATATATATTTTGTTTCTGTCATGCATGTGTGCGTGCGTATGTCTGTCTGTGTCTGTTTGTGTGTCTGTATATATCAGTTGAACCTTGACTTGAAGAGGCGACGATTGTAATGTTCCGGTTAGTATCATCTCGGGAGTCTGTTTCACAAAGCGACAGCCGTGAGAAAGATTATGTGCGAGTTGAAGTGCTTCCTTACCAAAGGAATACGAAGAGAATGAGTATGATGTGACCCTGTGTAGGCGGCATATAAACAATCGATATATCACGTTTGAATATTTAATTTCGTGATAAGAATATAGTACCGAAAAGAATAACAAAGTACAATCTATTGGAAAATGGTTAAAATGTATGAAATAAATCATCAACCACAAGCGTAATTTGAACTTTGTCAAGGCTGAACATTGAGGACTGGGCAAACCGAGCCAAGTTATTTCAGCAAAATTCAGTTCGTGATTTCTTGTAACTCTTGGTTAGAAAGCTTATTGCTGTAGGCGTATTTTCTCAAGAGATTCCAGAAAACGTTTCTTCATCCAGAATCTTTAGCAATGTTAGGAATATTCTTCTTTAAGTGCAAACTCAAGAGGTAGGCGATCATGGCTCTCCACAACTTCCTCTCCCTTGTATCTCTTCATA